TGGAAAAGAGATTAGAACCCACAGCTTCGGAAATGTACCTAATGACCTTCTTTAGAAGTCGATAGTTATTCAAAACTGTTTGCCTTCTCGAGATGTTAGAGGTTTCTTTTTTGTCAAGAAATCAAACTGTAGGTATGATCCTTCGGCTTTGTCAGATTTCTACAGACCTAGCGGCAACATTCTATTTGGGGGGAGAGCTTTATATATTGGTACCTGTGTTATTCTACAACTCCTCATTCCTGTTCGCCTATATTTTTAGCCTAATTTATTTACTATGAAAAAATAAAAGCAGTCTTATGCGATCACCATGCGCTCTGTGTGTCCCCCCTTATCAACTTTTGAATGGCTGAACCAGTCTTTACGAAATTCAGTATGCATGTCATGACACCTGAGTCCAACTCAGTGGCGTACGTCATAAATCCCTTCCATCAGTCTGTGTAGCTATACGTGTATTCATCCATCGTTACTGGGAAACGGCTCGGTAAAGATCCCTCTATCATTGCTAGGTAACAGCTCGTAAAAATGTTACTGCGGCAATGAATGCACGAAAAAGGGAAGAGTTGTTGGAGGCGTCGTTTTCTATGCGGTCTGTGCCGTATCAAGGAAAGTGGGCGATTAGTTCTTCCCAGAACTTCTTGTTTTATGTATAGGCAATGTACGCGCAAGGTAGCAGTTCTGGCCAGTTATGTGTGTTAATTTGTTGCCTCCAAATTTCACAAATCTCTTCCGTTTAATTGTCTCGAAAACCGCAAAGACTTGCAAAACGATTCTATTGAGCATAAAATGTACGCTTCGAAGTTCTCTACAGCGTTTGTTCCCAACACTTAGGCTCCGATAAACATGTACCCAGTTACGAGCAACTTGGGATCGAGAAGTGCGCAGAAGCGCATGTAGGTCTTCATATAAATTGTCAGTTGTTACAGTCATATTTTAACCAAAACTCGAATATTTTGATGTTAGTAAAGTACCCAAATGCCGGTCACGGTAGCCGAGCGGTCTAAGGCATGTACTGTCCTCGCTCGCTTGGAAACCGGGATCGTGGGTTTGAATCCCACTCAGGGCATGGATGTTATTTTGTGTGTGCGCGTTTTTCTGTGTTTGTGTACAGGTAGAGGCCTTGTGACGAGCTGATCACCCGCCCAAGGAGTCCTACCGTATGTGTAAGATTTAGAAAAACCGAAGTGAACGGATAAGTTCATGGAGGTAGGCCTAGACCCACTGGGGCTGTAGTGCCAAGGAAAAAAAAAGTACCCAAATAATGAAAATCCGTTCTGTGGTTCCCGAGTTGTTACATGAAAGCAGATGGACAAACATGGCGAAGCTAACCGGCATATTTACGCAACGCGTCAAAAAATAATTTCCATTCCTGACATTACTAACTACATTCAACTTCTTTCCATAATACGTCGCTGGTGCTGATTCTGTGTCTCATTAATAATTACGCTTTTGCTGTATGATGAACTAACCTCCGGTATATTTTATTCGAAATAAGAATCTTCAGCTTGCGTCCTATTTGTCAACCTCGCCATACCGCTTCTCTCTCGATTTACGCAGCACGGGAATAAAACCACCGATGTGTCCATTTTAATTATTACAGTTTCCACATAAAATAATTTTCCTTTGGTGAAAAAATAAACAAACAACTTTAGCAGTCGTTAATTACGCGATGCATTTAAACCATTTTGCACCGCCGTTGTGGCCTAGTGGTCAAAATTCCTGGCTAAATATCCAGAGGTCCCGGGTTCGATTCCCGGTGCTACCAGATTTTCTGAGAAGTAGTGGGTCTGGAACGGGGTCCACTCAGCCTCACGAGTATAACTGAGGAGCTATTTCAAGGAGAGAGCGGTTCCGTTCTAGAAAACAGACATTAACGGCCGTGGGGATCTGTTGCGCTGACCATGTGACACCCTCTATCCGCAAAAGTTGGCACCAACTTCGCCGACAAGCGGCGGTCACTCGGTCGGTATAGTTCGCTTGCGGACTACAAGCCACGGAGTTTCCTTTTGGTTTGTAAACCATTTTGTAGAATACTTAACATCTTACTATGCAGCATTTAACTCATGCCCCGTTAGTTTTTTTCCTCCTCTTGCTCCCACTTTGGAGTATAGGACTGATTTCTCAGTTTCATGACAATTTTAGACGGTAGGACTCCTTGGACGGGTGATCAGCTAGTCGCGAGGCCTCTACCTAAACATGGGACAACACAAACACAGATTAAAAGCATACACACACCAAACATCCATGCCTTATGTTGGATTCGAACCCACGATCTAGGCTTCCAAGAGAGCAAAAACAATTCATGTCTTACACCGCTTGGCTACCGTGACCGGCATCCCATTAATTATTACATACAAACGATGATATTAGCTTCCTGTCAGCATAATTATCGTACATTATCAAAAATAACAAAAGCGAGAGAACAAACATTCCGGGAAGTATGCGTTATTAAGGCGTCTCGAAAGTTGATCCTACAAACACTTGCACCAGCTGCCAAACGGAGAAGGAAACTCAGAGCGTGCATATGATCTTCAGTTGTCTGAGATTTAGTAATTGTTAAGCTTAGTCTCCTCTACAGATGAGTATAAAGTTACACTGTCCAATAGTTGAAGACACAAAATATCTATCTATCTATCTATCTATCTATCTATCTATCTATTCAGCCATCTTCCTTTCTTTCTTTCTTTCTATGTATGGTTCTACAGTCCTTCTGTTGGACCTTGGCTGCTTTTTCATTTTCTTAATCCTATACATAGTCCGTAGGATCAGCCCGTCGCAAGGCCGGTACCTACACACCGAACCATAAGCACAGAATAAACGCATACAAACATCCATGCCTTGAGTGGGATTCGAACTCACGTTCCCACCCTTCGAGCCGTCAATGACAATTCATGCCTCATACCGCGCGGCCACTGTGATCGTCACAAAATATTATTAACCCTGGCGAAAGTCGCGTTAAATTATTACCAAGAGGGAGGCTTCACATAGGATCAGTTATGATCTCGTAAGGTAAAAGAACTACACCTGGGCCTCAGAGTCACTCCACAAATGTGTGCTGGGAAAGTGGTTGTAAAGCTCCACGCATTCTTAACCTCAGCATTAGATGGGGATGAGCGTTTGGTTTCAGGTTCCAGCCACTTTACCCTCTGTGACAGCTGCTGGATAAGAGGCAGATTGGGACCCACAGCCCGTCTGGTCACGGTGGCAGAGAGATCGTGAATACATTTTCGTTTAATTCACACCCTAGCCACTTGCAATATTCAAAATGATACTGTCATTATTTTCGTGTGTTGCATGACAGCATCTAGACCCCAGCAGTGTTTCTGAGTCGTATTTATGAAGAGGACAATGTTAATGTTGAATTCGTTAAATATGGGTTTGCAAACACCGCGATCTTGTATCTATTTTAAAATGTATGCAACCTTGCTGTCCGTAGTATTCCAAGGTTTGACTCCTAATTTCCAAAGGGACGGCAGGAAAATCAGACCTCTCCCTGATCTCCAAAATATACAGGATGCTATGAAAGAATATTTAGTATAAATTTTTGTTAGAGTCGAAACGTTTGATCAAGAAACAGTCAAGTTTAAAGCACATTTAATTTGTAAATATTGGTACTAAAATCAAATAAAATGATAAATAACGCGTACTGTAAGAATACCTTGTTGGTTCATATGAGTTAGAGTAGATATATGCAGTGGTAATTTGTTGGGACTGAAAGTGATAACACACTTTTAGGCACTGCCTTGTACTGGTCTGAGCAAAGTCATGTGATTAAGAATCTCGTGTCTAAGGTAGCACATTAAATTATTAGGTTTTTACACAAACGTCCCCTACATGTCATCCTCCTATAAACATGAAACGAATGTACACATTCACTTATATTTTGAACAGTGGCCAAGCTACGGGCTGCAAGGCCGAAGAATCGAAATTCGATTTACGACAGAGGTAGAGAATTTTCGTCGTTGCGTCCAGACGAGGTCTGGGGCCCATTTAGTCTCCTATCTAACAGGCACACGGGCCTCTTCCTCCGGTGACAAAGCGGTACGTCATAAGGCACTTACCTGTATCTAGTTCCGAATTTATGAATGCGTGGGGCCATACCTCCACTCCCCCATACGCTTTCAAGGCGTGGTGCTTAATTCAGTATTGGACAAGTTTTACCTTTACCATGTTTATACGAGTTACTAGCACAGGCAGCCTTTTCTTATTACTTTATAATGGGAAGTAGTTAGCATTGTAAACACGTCCGCGCATACTGACGTTTTGTGCTTTGCGCCACAAATGGAATGCAGCCCCTTGTTTCGAAATTGGCAGCTTTGATTTATGACAGAGGGGGCTGTTCAACAAAGTACAGATATGCTGCGTGGAAGTTGATGATTCAGTTAAAGAACTGATGACAGAGATCACATTTCATGCTTCCAAGGTCATTCTGCAGGTAACATACTAGTCTGGCTGTAAAAAAACGAACCACTGTTTCCTGCATGTGTTCCGAGAATTCTTGTCCTGACATATTTTATTTTATACACATCATATCTTACATTCATCACATACAACAAATACGTCAAACACGTGGGTACTAATAAACTTGCGCGTTGAAAATATCGGTGGCATGTACGTAAACAAAAACATACTTTCAATGCTGCTGTTGCTGCTGCTGCTCTTACTGCGAGATACTTTCCTATCCGTCAACACCGCCTACCAAAGTGAAGGTAGTTTCAGATTTACTCACCTAGGACAGCCTGCAGAGCTTGATCCTCCCCAAGTACGTCCATGGCCGGTCCAGTTCACCTTTTACGGTATTTTTCTTTCACAAAGTTCATCTTCTAGCAATTGTATTTTCCATATTTAGATTTCACGCAAATCACACGAAAATGTTCCCGTTAACTCAGCAATGAACTTTCCTCCGAACTCTTGTGTCACGTGACTTTCGTTACAGTCATTGAGATTTCCAGGTTTACCAACAGATGGCGCGAACAAAATGCATAGTTGCTTGAAATCGCAAGAAGACGGACAGGAGTTTGTTATTTACGTTAGATGCCTTTATATATTACTGTACAGATTAGCACTGAAATGCACTAGATAAACATCGGAATTTTCCATACTTACTTTGTTCCACTTAAGGGTTAATTGTAAGAAATATTCCACTTGTTTACAAATTCACCTACCATTTAAGATACCTCAACCGTTTCCATGGCAACAGAAATTCCAGTTAACGTAAACGGAGTGTGTAATGTCATTCATAAAGCTGTAATAAGTGAGGTAATTATAACAGTCTATTGCCTATAAAGTATAAAGTTAAATATAAAATATAACCCATTCAGATTTCAGCGTAGATTATAACCGTTTCTCATGGATCTATAAGTTTCACTAGAGAATGGCATTTTGAAATCAGGAGTAAACTGAAATTATTAATACTGGAGCCTTCCTTATTGTAGGCTGTCTAATTCCAGAGAAAGCTGTTCCTTATTGGAATAAATAAAAATACAAGTTAGACTGGAATTATTAAGAATAAACAGTAAAGTTTGGAGGTTTGTTATAATAAACGTGTGTTGCTATTCGTGCTATAACATCGTTTGTATTCAAAAACAACTCATGGGCAATGCATCCTTAATGAATTATTGTTAGAGAAGTGTAGAACCATAACTGATTCTGCACACTACAATTTTATGCTCAGAAAATAACGATGTCAACTATGTGAGTGAATATATTTTTAGTAGTGTTGATGGACAAGTTAAAGTAAGTGTAGACAACAGTCCCCATAGGCCTTCTGTGAACATGCCTTTCCTAATGGAGTTTCTTGTTATATCTAATATACTCCTGTTTATTTTCTAGTAGGGTCTACTATTGAAGTGAGAAATGGCATCAGGCATACATATGCACCACAGTGATTATATTATTTTGTGGTTGAATACACTTTAAATTAGAAGTAGGCATATATGGAGAGAATTGACTCAAAAACAGCATGTTGAAATCAACAGTGCAATGAAAATATTGATACAGAATTGTGAAGCTAATTTGTTCAATGAAAACTGTTTGTAAGATGAAAATATTTAAATCAAAAATAAAATCTCTATGTACTTTACATGTAAAAGTCACTGAACTTACAAATGTTAAGGTGTTCATTGTAGCAAAAATCAGGTTCATTAAGTGAAAAGTAAGTACAACTTAACACACTTCGCTGCAAATCAAGTGTTCGTAAAAACAAGGGATGCCTGTGTAGGAATCCTATTTATTATAGGCTGTCTGATTCTGTAAAAGACCATTCCTTGTTAGAAACAAAGGCTGCTCATTTACAATCTACTACGTAACATACGCTTATGTAGGACTCAATGGTTCTTTGCTATGGTAACCCAAAATTACTTAATTTCAGGGCTTTCACTCACTGTCACAACTTTGTATATATAGAGAGAGGCAAGGAACAGTGCTTACAAATAAATACACATGATACCACTCACAGAGTATAAATATTTAATTTTCAGACATTTTTCATACATGAAGGAGGTTACAGTTTTTTCACATTTGGTTCATAACCAGCTGGCTTTCCCCATCTCCTAGCTATGCACAGAATAGGATCTCTGGTTCCGCACGGTTTGAACTGACAGATATGAGGAGGGTCCAATCAAAACGGTTCTGAAGTCTGGCTCTAGTATTACAGTCGCAGCTTTTTGAAGACCCCAGTTAGATATATTGGAGTAGCAGCAGCCAGTTAGAGACACAGATGTGGAAGTGGAGACAGGATCCGTAGCAGGCCAACATAACGTGTTGACAGAAGACATCAACTCGAGGACAGGAGGTCTTCAGGTGGTAGCCATAAAAGTGCAAAAGGTCCTAAAAAAGAAACTACGAACAAGCTCTTATAAGGACCATGGAAGAAGAAAGCCAAGACAGAATTGTCCTTAGAAAGAGTCTTCTTTCATTCTAGAAGAGAGTTCTCTATGACCTTCATAGGAGAAGACATCCCTGTTCAAGTTGTTGGGATGGAATTCAGCCTTTGTTACTTCGCTGATAATCAGGTTATGTCAGAATTTTTTGACCAGGATAGCAAAGCCCTGTATCAGGATATAGTGACCCAGGTTTGTGCTTTGTTCTCATATAGCTGACTTATCTGGATAATAAAATAGGTGTGCTGGTGGTGCTCTTTGACTGTAATCTTACTGGAACATTTAATCTGTCAAATGTGAGCCATCCTACATTTTCATAGGATACTGTACACACCCAATTTCCTTAGTTGTCATTGTTAATGGACCAAAAATAACTGGATACATTCCTCAGAGGGAGGCCAACAATCCTGTTTTGCTTGGATAGCATCCAGCTGATGCAGTTGAAGGCAGTAGTAATAAAAGGTAAAAAAGGAATTGAAGTTTGATCCTCTCTGCTTAGGAGTTGGGATTGCTCAGTTGGTATAGTGACAGGCTACGGGCTTGATGGCCCAGATTAGATTCCTGGCAATGAGAGATTTTCTCTTTCCCCACAACATCTTAAACTCAACCAGCCTCTGATCCAGTGGGTACCAGGGGCTAAACCGGCAGGGGAGTGAAGCTGACCACTTATCTGTAAGTAGTGCCAAAGTCAAGAAATTTGGAGCTATGCCTTCACTTGCCAATATATCTTCATGGCATAGTTCTTAACTAATTAAGCACAGGGAGAACTTTGCCTTTACCTTTTCCTCTCTGCTTGGTGTGACCCACTCGCATGGATTGAGAGTTCCAATTCTGAGACAATTCTGGTTGCAGGTGGTTTTGGTTCTTTATGCTGCTGTGGACAGCACAGCCTTCTTGTTCACTAGATGGTGATGCAGTCTGACATTTAAATAGAAGTTTGTGTGGGTGGGCTTCTTATGTACTGTGTGACCAAAACTGCCTTTTGTTCTTGTGTTTTAATATCCAAAAAAGTAAGGTGACTATCTCCATCTCCATTGTAAATTGGATGTATTGGTTTATGCTGTTCAGGTGGTACAGCATGTTCCTCAGTTTTTCCACTCAGTGTGACCAGATCATGAACATATTGTCAACATAATGGAACCAACAGTTGGGCTTTATGGGTTGTCCTTTTGAGTGCTTCTTTCCCTCAGGGTCCACTGTGAAGAATTGGCAAGCACAAGAAACAGTGGTGAATCCATGGTGAATGTCCAGTTGCTCATAGAAACAGAGAAATGAGGATCTTCCTCCCAACTCTCCTATCTAACCTGCCCCTTTCTGAACTTGGCTTACTTCTACCCTGAAGATGGAGGCATAATGTTCATCCAAAACATTTGTAACCACCTACCAGATTATGCATTGTTATAACTCTGTAGACTACAGTCTAATTTTCATGACCTCAAGTCTCATACTGTATAATAAGCAGTGTCTGTGTTTTCGCCCCACAGAGAAGAAGTGACGCAGGCAGTCCTGATCATGCCAGACTTAGTGGAGCAGACATATTGCTCTCAGCAGATTCATATACCACCCACATTCCCTTTCATATTGAAGCAGTATGCAAAAGCGGCTATCCGTACCCAGCCATATGATCTGTTACGTTGGTCAGCCACTTATTTTCGAGCACTGGCTCAGGGGGATGAACCTCCTGTTAAGAAGAGGCTGGAATGTCCACCTGTTGAGTCACAATTTGGCTTATCTCCAGGATATCTCAGAGTATTACTCAAACAGGTAAAGTCTTAATGAAATGCAGATCATTTAATAGCAAATTTTGTACTAAGTTTTGGAGGTTTGTAATTTTCAACTAAGATGCCATTTCCCCTTGGGTATAAGATTCATGTAAACAAAACACATAATGCGTTTGGTTGTTATTTGACGACAATATAGCTTACATTTCTTATCAAATCAAATAGTAACTTATCAAATAGTTAACCTCTTAAAATACAGTAAGATGAAAGTCCAAGTAAAATACATCTGTCTGCTAATTAGTTAGGAAGACTCTTTGTTTCAGATTGGATTCTTGAATTCTGTATCCGTTGAAATGCTTCGTGACAAATGGCAAGGCATTTGTCTTGATGAGAATACTCTAAATGAATTGCTGAAATTAGGTGGTTTTACAGAAAATGTGGACTGGTTAAAATTTATAGCAATTGCCGCTGGTCACCTTACGAACGTAAGTTATGTAAAACTTTCATGATTTCCACTCTTTACTGAAAGAGTATCCACTTATACTGCTTGTTGAAACCAATATTCAGTTACCTGATGCCCTCTTTCACTGTGATTTGTAGAAACGTGCTTTTATTTATAGATGATGATACCATGCTGTCAAAAACTAGTTTCCTAAGGTTCCAGCTAGATTATAGTAGCTTCTACCTTAACACTGAAAATGGAGACTACTAATTTGGTCAGCATATTGCAAAATGAGATCACAGCATGATGCCATCAACAAAAGACAGAAAAACAGATCCTTCAGTCCAGTTCTCAGATGTACACCTTTCCTTCTTTCCATGTCAAATATTCTGAACACCTTTACAGGACTTGGGGAATTATAAAGATTTGGGCTTGTAATGCCATGACATGACATGAAATATTTTGCCATATTTTACTAGTGTTTAGATTGGGAGTATAGATGACCTAAGAAGTGTGATGGTGTGTTAAACACGAGTGGAATTTTAAAGCCCTTTTTAAGTAACATTACTAATTTTTAAGATACATATACATCTCATAAGGCACAACAGATCACTGTGGTCACAGTGCAAGGGCCAAGAAGGCCGACCCCTTATACATTCATTCATACATCTGATTACAGGACCATACTTTGGAAACTTGGGATGGCTACAGGTCCAGTCTTTTTTTACAGTGTTCGATGTATAAAACATATGACTGAATTTAATTAGAAGGGGAAAATGTACATCAACTGCAGATCTGAAGTGAATATAATTTTAGTTTTTAATCTTTGACCATACTAAAATAATATCTTGTGTTGAGTACTGTTTGATTTAGTTTACTTGACACGAGGATTACAGAAGCTTCTGTATATTCACGAGATTAAAGGTTAGGAAGCATCTTTTGAAGCCTCCTTACCCACTGCAATTTTACTTTGACATGTACAGCCATTTTCATAAATGAGGCTCTGATGACCTCTAATGGTAGCATAATCACTCAATCAGCAATGGACAACTGTGAGTCCCAATTCTACATAGAAGGATGAGTTGTGGCCATATAACCTTTAAATCTGTTGTGGAAGACATGCCACCAGGCTATAAAGTAGATAGGTTAAGTTTGGAAGTTTTGATTTCAGTGGTTTTGATATGTACCAGTCATTTAGTACAGTTGATTCCATTATAAATCCAACGATTTTCAATAATAATTTTATCATGTCTGTTTCATGGATCAGTCACTGACTCAGACTATGTACCTAATCTGTGAGCTGCTGACTGAGGAGCCTGAGGGTGGGAGTGACATGATACCATTTGAAACCTTCAAAGAATTGTATGCCTACCTTGCACAGATGAACTGTGGCCCAAGGAAGGGAGAAGAGGAAGCAAGCGATGGTATATGTTTAGTGTGAAAACTATAACAATTTAGAACTTGAAATCTTTCTGCTTCCATTTCCCTCTAGCCCATCACCTGGTTGTTGATAGGTGACTACAGAAATTATAACTCATTAAGTATAGGTCCACCCTTGGTTTGTTGCTAGGTAACCATACATGACATAATGCATAAAGTGATCAGTCTGGTATTGCAAGACTCATTACCATGTGTCATCTCAGGAGTTCATTATAAGGATGTGTGATAGCACAGTCTTTCACTTTCATAAACCAAATTTAGTGAAAGTAAAATTAGAAAAAGCGTCATTCAATTCACAATATTTAATCCTGTAATATTCTATAACCTAATAACTAATACACACAAAATTATAATTCTACCTGTTATTAGGTATTAGTGAGAAACTTCTCACACTTAGGAAGGAACAAAGACATCACATTTGTACACAAAATATAGAGAACATGTGGGCATGAAAATACGAAGCTAGCATAATTTTTTAAGTTATGTTAATCCATTATTACTTACTTACTTACTCATGGAGCTGAGCCTTCTGGAGGAGCCACCAATTCTGCAGCTACTCAAGAATTTCCCAGCATTTTATAGAACCCGAAGGTTCATTACCATGTTCACAAGAGCCCTCCACTGGTCCCTATCCTGAGCCAGATCTATCCAATCCATACCATCCCATCCTGTCTCTCTAAGATCCATTCTAATATTGTCCACCCACCTGCGCCTTGGTCTTCCCTGTGGTTTCTTTCCTTCTGGCTTTCCCACCAATATCCTATATGCATTCCTTTCCCCCCATTTGTGCTACATGCCCTGCCCGTTTCATCCTCCTTGACTTGATCATTCTAATTATACATGAAGAAGAATAAATGTTATGAAGCTCCTCATTATACAGTTTTTCCAACTTCCTGTCACTTCATCCCTCTTCAGTCCAAATATTCTCCTCAACACCCTGTTCTCAAACACCCTCAGTCTGTGTTCCTCCATTAATGTCAGAGACCAATTTTCACACCCATACAGAACCACAGGCAAAATTATAGTTTTTTATTAACTAATTTTTATGCTTTTGGACAACATACAGGAAGACAAAAGGTTCTGGACTGAATGGTAACAAACATTACCCCGAGTTCAGGCTCCTCTTAATTTCATCCTCAATCAAGTTTTGATTTGTTATCGTCGTTCCCAAATATCTGAACTGTGCCACATTTTCAAAACATCTGTTTCCTATATTTATGTCATGATTTTGCCCTGCATTTTGGGGACAAGACAGTAACATATACTTAGTTTTCTCTGTGTTTACTTCTAGACTGACCTCTTTACGTGCGTCAATTAAAGTTTGTGTGTTTTTCTTTATGGTATCTATATTATCACCCAGTAGATTCACATCATCAGCACAGACCAACAGCTGATGTGTCCCATTTAACTTCAGTCCCACCTGGTTTCCCTGGACCTTCCTAATTGCATATTCTAAGGCAAAGTTGAAAAGGAGTGGCGATAAAGCATTTTCTTGTTTTAGACCCTTCTGGATGTTAATCCCTTATAAGTATCAAAAATATAGAGCACTCATGACAGGATAGTCAATGTGTGGAGAGTTGGTAGAATGAGAATTGGTAGGGTAAGATGAAGTACTTGGAGAAAACGAGCCCTAAGGCCCCGTTTATACAAAACTGTGACTGGAGAACTTTATGCAAAGAGATCAGTTGGGAGATCATGACAGAAGAATATTAAAATACAACTGGGAAATAAGCAGAGGATTTGAAATGGATTCATCTGGCTCAGTACAGGATCATAACATGGTCCTTCTCCTCTGAAGATAATGAATATAAATTTTATAAAGGAATTCCTTGTGCCTGTAAATTTATTCCAGTTACTGGTCAAATAATCTTAACTCCAGTGAACCAATCAATAGGGTTCTTATAGTGAGACATGAAGTACAAATGCCCTTAATGTACCTTAATGTAATTATTTTCTCCACAGGAAACATTAAATCAGGTGAAGAGGCACCTATATTAGGGGCAGATGAAGCTACATCAGCTGAACTGGGTAGTGGAATTAATATTCCAGGAATTGGCCCTTTAATTCCTACTGCACAAATACAGTCAGTATTGAAGTATCTTGAATACTTGGCAGGGCAGCAGAATGGTATGGTGATGCCACGTAATCTTCATCACTTCCTTTGCCCATCACTGGACAAAGTGCTCTAGCCATTACAGTGATACTAAAGATGATGATTACTGTTCCAGGATACTTTAATGATTATTGGCTTTTTGTAGACATATCTAGGTCATTATGTAAATAACATAAAATTAAATGCCTACATGCATTAATCTATAACTTTTCTATGCACATTGCTACTCTGTGAACACATAATTAATGTATTTCCATTTAGCTGTAAAAATAAAAATAATACATGCCCCAGCATAACAGAATGAAATCTCTGATGCCATTTTGTATAAAATTTCTTCACTACCTTATACCATTAATGTGTTTATGCCAGCTTGCATTATAGTACAGTGTGTGCAAGGCAACAACACCAGCACCACTGACTCTCATGTCAGTCTCTCCTTATGCCAAACTCTGTAACTGATTAGTGTAAAAAGGTATGTTAGTTTACTTTATTTTATAAAAACTGTTGGAAGTGATCCTCTTCTGCCTTCAAGCAGGCTTCTTAATATGTAAGTTTTGCAGCATATCCTGAAGTTCACCCTCTGGAATTTGAACAGTTACACATTTTTGTTCTGGAGAGCCTGGGCAATGTGAGGGTTATTCTTCTACACTTCTCTTTCAGGTTCCCACAGAGATAAGAATCATGTTATTTAAGATCAAGGGATCTATTAGGTCAGAGTCTTTGCTGATTATTCTGTTATCTAACATCTTATGTATAGCAGCCAATGACTTTTTGGTGGAAATATGCATATTGGCTTTCTTTAGCTGTCAGTTGATTGAGAAGGTAATTCAGTATCTCACCCACATACTTATCTGAATTTGTAGTTTGTTATAAGAACATTAAGCCAGTGCTTATGCAAACCTCACCCCTACTTTTACACATATTTAATAATGAACCTAGCAGGGCCATTGGCATCAATACTGAGACAAGAACAGTGTAACAGGAACTCACTCTCATGAGACATAGCTAGCTAGTTTAATGTTGTTTCTTTACATTGAAGTATCTGTCACCCAATGAGACCTTACAGTTACTGGAGTAATTTGAAGGCAGGATATCAGATGTATTCTAACAGACTTCATTATCCAGCATGTATGAAGAATTAAGTGAACTGGTGATAGGAGAAAAATTCATAGAGAAACCCAATACAAAGTCCAGACAACATGTTTTCACTTTAATTCTCATGTATGAATCTTCCTAGGCAATAAAGCAATTGTTAGGTTGAAGAATTTGGATACATATGCTGTACCTCAATCACAAATTCAACTAGCTTATGGTGTAATGGAGAGGGAGGATGATGGGTAGTACTACTAGTGGTGGCTGGAAGAACTACTGCATGGTAACATCACAAATTTGTTCGTGAATGAGAATTCTGGATGCTTGTATATAGTTAACTAGTTTAATGTACATGGGAAATTCTGTGACCAGGGGTACAATGTACTTAAGGGATCAGAGCTTGCACTAGTTGTGACCAGTTATTTCTCAGCAATTCTGAACAAGAAGGATGCAGTCTACTTAGTTCCAGATCGCTTCTTTTTCAGTGTCTTCAGGCATCATCCAAACAACTGTACATGTCACAATGAACTGTAATGATTTAATATGAGTTGATCATTCCCAGGCACTTCTGCTGATATAAAGCATCTCTCTAGTTCTGCAGAGCTATTTACAAGTACATCCCTGCTTAAATCGCGGGATCTTGGGAGTTGACAGTGTATGGGAAAGTGGCTGTACAAGAGACAGGTTGATCCAGTGAGACAAGATTCAATGTATGTAACAGATCTGCAATACCAGAACACAGGCAATGAATTAGGCCACTGAATAAAGTCCCAGAATACCAAGATAAAAGCCAAATTATCAAGGTATATGGTCTGACTCGTCAAATTGGGGACAAATACCACTACACCAGAATAGCATCAACAGGGAAGACGGCTTAGAACTAACCCAAGCATCGAACACAACCATCAGGTTTTTACGGCTCTCTGACAGAGATTATGTTACACAATATCAAAGAGGACATACCTACTGTTAAGACTGTCATTTTCTAAACACGCGGCATATTATTAGGGCTGTGCTATATGTAGGAAACATCTTGTGAACTGGCTCATTTCCATCTACTGGTTCTACCTGCCTACTGCCCATTTCCTTTACTTACCTATTCCTACTACCTGTCTCCCTACCTGGGGCTTATTCCTGGAGTCCACATTTGCTGCTTGCAGAGATCCTGAACTGGGATATTCACTCTAAATTGTCTGTCTTCCATTCTAAAATTGTTTCAGCCCCCTGCCTCCTCTCAGCAGGCTGCCAGTCAATGAATAAATCTATGGGGTGTTTGAATTGTGTTCCACCACAAGCTGGGGGTTTTCCATCGAGGTGGTAGATATTGCATAGGCTGTTTTAATGTTAGCTTCTGAATGCATTATTTCCTTTTTTTCTACTCTTAGTGTATTCTTGTTTTGTGTATATATTATGTTACTGTTAAAAAGTAACTTACATAATGAGTTTCTTGTATGCTATTTTACTGGCAAGCCCCCTTATGTATGATCCCACAATAAGCAGAGAAGGAAGCAAAGTGGCAGTGGACAACTAAATGTTAAACCTACCCAGCAGTTACGCCAGTACCCCAGGATGGTCAAGTTAAACAATGATGGAGATTAATATATGGATGGGCGATCATTCTCCACGTTAAGCAATGGGAACCATGTCTAAAACGGGACTTTGACTCTGCCATCTTTTCCAGCATATCAGTATGAAGCATCACACTGACATATAGATATAAGTGCCCAAAAAAAAATGGGGAAAAGAAGAAAAATTTATATATAGGAACATATTTATTATGCATAAGAAATTCTCTCACAATTCAGTAGAACAAAACTTGAGAGTTTCTTTTGTCACCTAGTAAGTTTCAGTGTGAGCACCATTAGTTGTTCGATTCACACTGGAACAATATTCGGTCTTGTGCCACATATTCACAAACATAGCTTTGGTTACTGTTGTAATCACCTCTGTTATGCAATGTTGCCGAGTTCAAACATTTGCAGTTTTCTCCTGATGGATGATATCCTTCACATAACCCCAAAAAGAAAAAGTTCAATGGTGTTAAATCAGGTGAGCTTGGATGCAATACTAGGAAACTGCCTCTTCCAATCCATCCTGCAGGAATCATGCATCACAAGACAACTGTGACACTGCATAGTGTTATAACAAGTCCAGGTATGAATGGCTTGTCACAGTTGCTTCCTGAAAGAAAAAGGGGCAATGACTCGATCTTTCATCATGCCATACCACATGTTAACCTCTGTCATGTCCCTCTTATAGTCACTAATTTCTTGAGGTGGCTGACTCCCCAAATTCTGCAGTTGTGTGTGATACCATTCAGATGGACAAGTTTCCTCATGGGAAGAACACACAAGTCCAGGAAAATCACATCACTGTCGATTTTCTGCAGCATTTCCTCAAAACGTCTCTTTATCGGCTCGTTTGATGTGCTGCCACAACTGCATTTTGTAGGCATGTAACTATAAACATTTGTATAGAATGTCATGAATTGTCGAATGCGGGAGATGCAATTGCCTGCTTGTGAGGGCTAGGTAGAAATGCTTGTCCAATATGCCCTTCAACTTCCCTGGATGTCCTGGTGATATCTGAACAACACTTCCAGTATCTCTTGGACATCTACCCCACTTCTTATGGAGATGTGGCTGAACCTCCATGCAGTAACCGGAACTTACATTGTACACATTTAACAGACTTAAACTCCACGAGTCACAAGATGCAGTTCACCTTCTGCAGAACCATCGCCATTACTAGTTATTCAAAGGGATGGCACAGATGCAGCCATCAATACCAACAGAAACAAAACTTGGAACTCTAAGCTACTGAATGGCAAAATCACCTCCTCTGTATAGTACTTTTTGTATACAATTTTTTTCATGCCTTTCTTGGGCACCTGCATATCAGTGACATATACCTAATCCCCTCATTTACCACAGTAATGGAGATGGCTGACATCTTTGAAAAAAACAGGCTGACGGCTGATCACTAGGGCCTGAATTTTTTGAAAATGCATATGCACATATGCAAATGCATATTTTAAGGGTTTTTCATAGTTATTGCATATTCTAAACGTAAGAGCATATTTCTGCATATGTGTTTGGAATTGAGGATAATTTCAATATTCCCTAACAAAATCGGTTTTGCCTGTGTTTTGGTCATCCCTTGCCAGCTGCTATTCTCAACTCTCTGAGTAACGGCACTTTTACCACTTACAATACAAGCAGGTAGCTTGGCTATTTCGAAAGGGAGGGGTCGGATTTTCCTGCATTGCTTTGACCACAGCATCAGAGGGTTGGTCTCGAGAGAAGTCTCTTCAGTTAATGTGTTACTTTTTACTTTAATAGTCTGCATCAAAAAAGTGTTTGTGTACTGAAAATGCCTAAAAACTGCATCAGTAGATATTTAAAAATTTGGTGGGTGTCGGGTAATAGTGACTGTTCAACAGAAAGTATTGTCGTGTACTGTCAAGTGTGCGCAAAGGAAGTAAAATGTGAAAAGAAATTTCAACTTTAACAACACTCGTGAACGACTGCACATATTACGGCAAAGAAGGGGAAGAAGAACACACCACAACTATTTCTTACACAGGTCAAACCCAAATCCTCTGTTAATACATTTTCAGCCGATCTTTGTAAGGCTTTAGTATGCAGCAACATTCCATGGAATAAATTAAGCAATCCAGTTCTGCGATCATTTCTGGAGAAATACTGTGTAATTAAAAAAATCCCAGATGAATCAACTCTTAGAAAAAATTATCTACCTTTGCTGTATGAATTTACTCTGGAGTCAATCCATTCTGACATCAGAGGGAACTGTGTCTGGATATCAGTGGATGAGACAACCAATTTATGTGGCCAATACATAGCAAATTTCGTAGTTGGTAAGCTACATCCAGATGAACCCGGCAACCCTCATCTTCCTTGCAAAGTACTAGAGAAAACCAACCATAGCACAATAGCAAGATTTGTAAATGATTCTCTGCGACTACTATGGCCATCTTAAATTGAGAATAATTGTTGTAAGGTGCTTGTATTACTCACAAATACAGCTTCCTATATGTTGAAAACAGCAAAGGCCTTAAAAGTATTTTATCCAAATCTTATACACGTAACCTGTTTAGTGCACGGATTACACCGTATTGCAGAAAAAAATATGCGCACAGTTTCCAGCTGTTAAGGATTTAATTGCAAGTGGGGACAAAACTGTTTCTCAAAGCACCAGCTCGTGTCCAGTTC